GGGAAAGAAAATAATTAAAAAGCACTAATAATGTTTTTTAAGTAATCTCAGACTTTACATATCCATTCATCTACTGCCACAAAGAAGGGGAAATTATTGTCAGTTTCACACCTGCTATATCAAATCAACATTTCCTGTAAAGGACTTACTAGGACAGTTGAAGTTCAAGAGGTAGGTGGAAAGATAGCAGGGAGCTGCCTGCAGTGGAGAATGGACCATCCATAACCTTTGTTTAGCAGTTGTAAATAAAAAATGCAGTTTGGGTTATGTGACAGGTAATGCTGGAACTAAAACAATTCAACTTCAACCAGTGTTTTTCTTTTGAACTGATACTGATTCCTTTTTTGGGAGTGTCTCTTCCTTTTCCAGCAGAAGGAAGGTTCTTCAGGACCGAGAATCATATTACCTCTGATCTAGAACATAGCATATAGCCATTCTATTAACATTCATTAAAGTTATTCTTCCTATAATCTACTTTTAAAGCCAGTTCTGCTGGGGTCCTGCCTAGGAGGGTGTTGCTTTAATAACCAAATTAGTAATGTAGATAATTAGTAAATCTCAGCAGAATCGGAAGCCAGACCAAGCTTTGTACACAAGGTTCTAATGGTATATATGAAAGCTGGACAGTAAAAGTCAGTCCAAATATGAATAATGGTGATTAGGGATCATGCCTAGTGATTCCATCCAAGACTTAATCAGATCTGACCCTGCTTAGCCTTTTCAGAGTCAACTAAGGTCATTAAGGTGTGGCTATCTACTGTGACTGGCTTAACTCTAAAACAATATAGATTTTCATGCTTTTTAGACTTGAAAGAGGGAGATATAGGAAATATGTCCAAAATCTTGGTGTTTCATTTCTTATCGATTAAAAAATCAAGCACTTTAGTTATAGTCTAGAACATTTAGGTTTCTGTCATTTGTACACCTTTTGGTACCAGTTTTATTATCTTAAAAGTTTCTAAAGTAATAGTTTGTTTCATCAGAACCAAGAAAGAGTCTTAGGGTACCTTTACAATTTGATCACGGTACGTGCTTTTATGGGTCACAGTCCATGCCATCAGATATATGGTATGTGGACTTAGAAGTTGAGTATGCATGGTTGTGTGTGGACACCTAATCAGTAAGATCAGAGAGAAATTAAATACAAAATGTTGGATGGTGAAAGTGATGTAATTAATAATGAGACTCACAAAGTAGATGTAGGTAAAAACAAATGTAGCCATCATTTCTATATGCAGTGTTTTTATTTTCTGTTTTTTAGTTTCATGAAGCTGTCACTCAGGAATGCATAAAAACATTCTCTTTCATTTTTAAAGTGAAATGAGATCAGGTGAGTTTTGTAAGCTACAGAAGAAATGAGTGCATATATTTTAATTGTGCACTTAAATAAGACAATAGTAATAGATAAACAAGATCTAATATTATTTAGAAATAAGACAAATTTCTACCTATCTTTCATTTGACTTTCTTCTTAGAAAGCATTACATACTCAACTGGGTCATGGGGAGGGAAATAAGTGTGACATGCAGACTCTAAAACCTAGCCAATTAATCCAGAGGAAGTTAGATATAATCCCAAACACACCCAGTAATCCATATTATTTGCTGTGACAACATACAAGGTAATGAATTGACGGGGGGAAGGGATTGCTGGGTCATTTCTGACATGCAAACAGGGCCATTAGTTCTAATTTATAAACCATGGCAACTTTTTTTTCAATAAAGAATGTAATGCTTAGAATAACACATACTGTGACCATTGATAACTTCTGTTCTTTGCATATGACACAGTTTGTGTGAACAGAACCCCACTCATCTTGTGTCTTTCCTTGTTCACTTGACACTGTCAATTGAGGTACGTTAGGTTAGTTCCAAAGAATCCTATCTTGTTTTGAGCTAAAACTAATTTTAGGGATTAGTTTTAGCTCAAAACAGCACAGGATTCTTTGGAATTAACCTAATGTACCTCAGTCAACAGTGCCAAGTGAACATGGGAAAAAAAAGTTGCAGAGCGCATCAGTCTTCTTTTCCTACTGCTAGAAGGCAAAATCTACAGTAAGAGCAGCCCTGCAAAATGGCACTGCTCTATGACCTTCATCTTTTTTTCATTTTCATCCTTCTCCAACTGGGAAAAAATGGGAAAAAGCAACTACAAAGTGATGGGGTGATTAAGTCTCCCTTGGCTCTGCACAGTGGCACTGACCCTGATCAGGTCATATGGGTTTTTAATCCCCACCCCTAACATAAAAGTAGAAAGTGACAATCTCCCAGTGACCCTTTGTGACAGCTGGAATGACATAAAAATTGTTAGCTGCTGTTTGACCAGGACATTGGTGATCTGTGTTGCTGTTTTGTGGGTTAAGTGTTTATTCTGACAGAGTGTCTGACTGGATCAGTTGTGCTATGCATACATAGCCATAGTTTTTCTGTGAGACATACATGAGAAATACCATATAGAAATAATACATTTTGAGTTTTAATTTTAATTTAGTGGTGCTTGATCAGGTGTATCAACAAAAGCAAGATTGGGCTACAGGGCAAGAATGTCTCTTATATCATTAGTTACCATGATCACTGGAGTTTAGCCATTACTGGTGATAACCCCAAAGCTCTGAAGCTGATTGGAAATCCGTGGGCTAGTCACTGAGTCTCTGCCTGTCAAATTCATATACATATACAATAAAATGAAACAAAACACAAAATTAAAGCATCATACACGCTAGGCAGCAATGCAGTCATTCAAAATCTAAACGAATACAAATTAAAAACTAATTAAAAGCCAATTTAAAAGCCTGGGAAAATAGAAAGGTTTTCACCAGGTACCAAAATGATGCTAATGTGGGTGCCATTTGCACCTTTCTGGGGAGTAAGTTCAATAAATGGGGTGTCACCAGAGAAAAAGCTTTCTCCACCCACCTCACCTCTTTTGTGGGGGGACCTGGAGGTGGATCTCATTAGAAGATCTTAATTAGTTAACTATTTAACTCTTAAGAGGATAGTTCAGAGGACGAAGCAGAGGAAGCAGGAATAATGTACTCTGGCCTCCTAAGAGGAAATGTTATATAAATGCAATTAATAATTCATAGGCTACCCTTATACAGAGAAAGGTTATTTTCTGATATTAAGAGTAAAACAACCAGAGTCAGTCTGTAGGGAATGTTGCCATGCTCTGTTTTTCTAACCTTCAAGCTACAGTAAAGAGAAGATCTTTCTGATACAGTGGTTTGGGTGTGCAGAAACAGCTCAGAAGCCATGTGGTTAACACACAATTTAATATCTTAAATAAAATGTTATTAATTATAAATTTTAATGTGTGCTAACCAATTAAAGCAAGCAAAGGAGAAATAATAATTTTATTTTTTTTATTTTTATACTATAATTTCAGAATGGATATCTGTAGCAAATTAAAGAGGTTGTGCCATCTTAAAGATGTGTAATTTGTAGTTTGTATGCTAGACTGGCCTATTCAATCATGAGTAAACTAAACCATGGCCTAATAAGATATGTGAGTCCAGCCATTGTGTTACTAGTATTCAAATTGTGGGAATTTAAAAATAGCCAAGAATAGAAAAATATATACACAGGTGGAAGATAGTAGTAGTAGTGACATACTAACGTGTCATTCTATTATATACCTTAAACCTTCTACAGTTAGTACATGAATTTACAGTACTGTATAATACTTTCAAGTCACGCATCAAAATGTATTCATTTTCCAGCAGGTGATATCACTATGCAATTGAGTATGACAGCTGAATAGTTAAATTGGAAATTATATGTTAAAATGTATTTGGTGTTTTTATTATTATTCTTTGCCATTTGATGTAATTTCTATCCTTGACTCATTGGATATACTTGTCTTCTCTGTGATTAAAAAAGATTGCAAACCTATTCATGTAATGCTTAAGTTGCAATTTGTAATCAAAGATAACTTTAGTCCAAAGAACAGGAACAAATGTAATTTCACAAATCCAATTTATTATTTTATTGATTTGCTATTTATTGGATTATGGCCTTTTGACAATTATAACATAGGTTGTTAAGATCAAATTAGTGAATAAATAAATGAAATTGTCTTGATGATAGATTATAATTGTTACCAAAGTACATTGTGCAGAAGCAAAGTATCAAATAAACAGTCAGATTTCTGGGTTTTGTTCTGAAATAACACATTATAGTCATATGTACATGTCAGGCCAACAATAAAATAATGTACATGTCAGGCCAACAATAAAATAATTTAAAATCTAAAATCTCTGTCCTATGAAATTTACCTTAATTCTATCCCTACCAATCTACAATAGAACTTCTACCAGTAAAAGTGAAACAACTTTCTTAATAGCTAGATGTACCTCCAAGGAGTTCACTAAATGCCTTCTATAGTTTGCCCTCACTTTATAGAAACTTCAGCCACCGACTTCCTCAGGAAATTTATAGCCACCCAATTAAATATATTCCTACCATATATTCTTCTACCATTATAAGAAGAAGAAATGGAACACTAGTACTTTCTTTTTTCCACCACAAGGGCAGAGGTATTGCTTACAGAAGATATTGGAGTATCTGCCCGTTAAAATCACTGACACCATGCCATTATGTAGGCCCACTGTTTCAGTATGATAAATGTGGCCCAGCTGTTTTTAATATTCAGAAAAGAATATTTCTAATATTCTTTTAATATTCAGAAAAGA